ATGTTGACATACTCCAGAAAGACAAATCGTATATCGGCAAAACTGGTCTTCACAGACTTCAGTATCCGTGCACTTTAGTTAATGGCTTGACGATTTGGCGTTTTTTCCACAAACGATGTGCATGAGTTTGAACCCAAACTGAGCGCAGAACACTCAACAGAAGTCAGTTGAAGCAGAATGGGTTGAGGCGGTGGGACGATGACAACACAGCGACAAACTGTAGATACACAGCCAGCGCGTGGCAGGCTTCAACCCAACGAGGAACACACAGGGTAGATTGAGGACAAAAAACTCGTGGTTATCTGAAGTGGAACAACAAGTAATGGAAAGACAGTAGAATAGGGACCTCAGTCCCTATCCTAAGGGCCTTGCACTTCTTTCCAGAGGGAGTATGGTTAGTGCTAAGCTTAGGTTTAGGTTTACTCTTATGATTCGGTTAAGGTTAGATTCGGGTCAAGGGTAATGCTAGGTTTAGGGACGCATCTGGCGTGCAAGCGCAGCTAGCAGCTGACAGCCTTTGTACCGTCTCTTTTCCAGCAGTAAATTTCTGTCCATCAATACCGTCTTGCTTGACTTGTGATTTGGGGAATCCTTCTGCTTGTCGACACTACTACGTTGCGACAAGGATACGGAAATGCCTGCCTTTCATTGAATTTTGTGTATTACCGTGCAGATAAGTTCCTATTCCCTTATCTTGTCCCGAACGTGTGCAGGTTCAGGATGTTGCAACAAGTGGAAATAGGTTTCTGTATACGGCAGAAGTAGATAGTGCTAAGAAGAGGTAATGACATCTCTCACTGAGTGGACAATTTGGTTTATGGACTAAATCTTCGAATGGCTTGTTCCATGAGTTAATAACTCGTTTACCAGATGACATTAACCCGGTTTTAATGGCTATCCTAGACCGGAAAGTCATATAAGCATATGCTATAAGATTTTAGGGTGTGTCGTAGAAAATAAGACTAGTTATAACACTGATAGTGCTTCAAAACGGATAGATTTAACAGCAACCCTACAATTCGAGTTAATCTGACCTGAGTTTTCTAAATGACTTCTATGATAAGATCAACGTCATAGGAGCAGGTCGGTGAGCAGCACCCGGATTTTTGTCGAGCCA